TGACACTGAAGATGCTGAAAATTCAGCTTTGCATCACAGGAATAAATTAAATTTTAAAATATATTAAAATATAAAACTGTTATTTGAAATCGTAATAATATTTCACAGTTTTACTGTTTTTTATTGTATTTTAATCAAATAAAAGCACCCTTGGTGAGCATAAAAGACTTCTCAAAAACATAAAAAATCTTAACAACCCAAACTTTTTATTGCATTTTAAACTAAACACTAAACATTTTGTGGATGAGAACCTGTTGAACACATGCCATTCAAACAAGACCCACACTGCAGTTCGAGGCCTATTCACGGTGCAGATAAACACTGTTTACTCCAGCTATCATGCTAATCTAAACCATGCCAAACTGAACAGGATCCAGAGTCCAGCACAGGCCTGAAAAATGTGTGTGTGATACAGAATGAGCTGTGCATAAAAAATGCCTGAGAGAGGGACAGTGTACAAAACAATATCAGTGATTTCATTATAAAACGTTTGACTCATTGCGAGTGAACTTTAACGCTGTCTTGAGGCGACCAGTTGCTGTGGGATGTTAAACTGAAGAGTCTTCAGTTCACGTTTGATAATACAAAAATTTAAAACTGAAGTGTGGTTTTTTTTTTCTGATGAAAATACAAATTTAATGCACTATGAATAAGCGACTGCTTAACTAATGATGTTGGTGGGCGGGACTTCCTGTTTTCTGTTTAAGTAGGTTACATTGCCTGGGCTCTTCTGAATTGTGTCAGCAAATGCAGAGCCTGAGAAGAGATCTTGTGGAAAAGTATTACGCTGTCAAAATGAAAAGATCATAGCAATAAATTCTGCTCATGCACGTGAAATTCTATGCAAAATCTTGGTGCGAGTAGCACAAAAATGACACACTTCACCTTTAAACGCACAGCATGCTGTAATCGTACAGGGGTTTTGAGACTAAAAGACACAAATGAAACTGCATTTGTTTCATTACATTTTGTTTCTTCTTCAGAACAAATGTGCTTGTAAAGCGAGCCGCTGAAGCCCTGAAAACACTGACATCATCAGGCTGAAAACGCCACATGTTGTACTGACTCTTCTTGAGTTTGTGAGATCAAACAGACAGTCTGTTGAAGGGAAGAGTGTTTGTGATGTCAGTCCAGCTTTTGCACACACTTCATGCGCTTTAGCTCTGTCCCTCCAGCAATCGAGGGTCTGTGATGTGATCACCAGGCTTTAAAAGACAATGAGATATTATTGTAGTCCTGCTGTGCTTCATAACACAGTAATTATGTGATCAAAATATCAGATTTTATAGGCACTTCAATCCTTTCTGCACTGTCTGCTCTAAGAGAACGTGTCTAAGAGGCAGACAGAAACCACATGCTCTCTTAAAACTAACACCAAGTTAGAAAGTCCGCCTAAAAATGAAAATTGTGTCATCATTTACTTATTCTCATGTTGTTCCAAACCTGTATACTCTATGAACATAATCTGAAAAAAGTGTCAGTGCTTTTTGTCCACACAATAAAAGTTAGTGGGGCCTAATGGGGTTATTTTGGAGACTAGTAAACTTAAAATAACAACAATAATAATAATAATAAACAATTAAGTAATTTATTTAATAAAAAAACGATTTATTATTTATTATAAAACAATTATTTATTATTATTATTATTAAATAATGTATTTGTTTACTAAACAATCAAGAAAAAATATTCATTATAAAATAATAACATTTTAATAATAATAATAATACGTTATTGCTTTTACTATTATTATTATTATTTTATTTTTTTAACCATGTATTGGTACAGGGATGCACATTGCCGGAAAAAATATTATACAGAGAAATACAATTCCACACAGCTTGACTTGTTTGAAGACTTGCTCAACTATTCTGATTGAGACTGATCTGTCCACGTGTGTGTGTGTGTGTGTGTGTGTGTGTGTGTACAGACAGGAAGTGTTCTTACTCTGTCTGTCCTGATCAAACTCTTCAGAGAGCAGATGATAGCAGCAGCCCACACTGCAAACGGCGCGCAGCTCCTGTTTGGCCCTGAACATCCTAGACTAGTAAACTTAAAATAACAACAATAATAATAATAATAAACAATTAAGTAATTTATTTAATAAAAAAACGATTTATTATTTATTATAAAACAATTATTTATTATAAAATAACAGATAAAATAATAATAACAATTTTGATTATTATGTTATAAAAATGTATTATTAACAATTTTATAATGAATAATACATTTATCATTGTTGCAGTAATTATATTTACTATATTACTAAATTATATTACATTATATATTGTATATTATATTGTTCCAATTATTATAATTGTTATGTGTTCATTTAATCCATTATTGAGTAATAATTAATATTATAATAATGTTTTTAGTAACATTTTTAGTAATAATGTATGAAGTGTTCTTACTCTGTCTGTCCTGATCAAACTCTTCAGAGAGCAGATGATAGCAGCAGCCCACACTGCAAACGGCGCGCAGCTCCTGTTTGGCCCTGAACATCCTCAGAGTGCTGGGGGCCAAATCTCCACACGTATGCAGCCCAACCAGAACTGCATCCTGGGTACCAGCCAGAGAAAAGAGAAAGGGAGAAAGAAAAAAAAAATGGGGTAATTTAGTGAAATCAACACAGACCGTTTGCCATCTCTCATTGATCATAAATAATTTGCTATGGACACATCCAAGTCCCTCTCCATTCTTGAGCTCAATTTCACCTAATTAACATGATTAGGATAATCGCAGGCGTCTCGCTGAGCTGTAATAGCAATGGTACAACTTCAGCTCTATAATCAGAGCCAACAGCTGGACAACTATTGCAGCATAGTGCTATTATATGAGTTTAGTATACATCAATTATTTAATCCTGAGAGAATGTCATATGAAATTAATTCACAGTGCATTTACGAGAAAAAAAGTAATGCTTCAAATAGAATAGAAAATACATCTTCAGCACCCACTTTGTATTTTAAGCACGATATTATATGATGATATGATATTATAAAAAACAACAATGTAAAATTCTTTAATTCATTCATTAATTATAATGATGATAATTAGTATAACTTTAATTATAACAATAATGCCAATAATGTTTATATATTAAAATATTAGTAGTAGTAGTAGTCATTAAAATTATTATTACAATTACATTTTAATAATAATAATAATAATACAGTAATTACTATTATTATTAATGTTGTTTTCATTGTTGTTATTTATTATCTCCCCTTGTTATTTATTTCACAATGAATAATAAATTATTATTATTATTATTACTACTACTACTACTATTGTTATCATTATTTTAACAAAATTTACTTAAACATTTTAAATTATTATTATAATTATTATTATTTAACAATGAATTAAATGACTGATTTTATAAAACCATACTGTTGTACATTTTGTACACACATTTTCTGCCCTGGTACTTTATTTTAGAATTAGAATTAGAATTTTAGAATTATTATTTTAGAATTATTATTATAATTATTAGCATTTATTTATTTAAACATTACTTATTTGACATATTTGCACTACTTTTCTCAAAATAATTCTAAAATGTATTACTAATTATTTCATAGTGAATAAATAATAATTATTATTTTTAAACAATGAATTAAATAATTTGTTAAATAAATTAAAATAATAATAAGAAGAAGAAGATTAACAATTATTATTATTATTATTTCTTTATTTATTCTCCCTTGGACAAAACCATCATCCCTTCACCTCCAGCTCTGTGATCAGCATCTTGAGCTCAGTTTCTGCAGTGACATATGAGGTCAGAGGGGAAAACAGGCTGTTGTCTCTGATGTTCCTCCTTCCTTCTCGAGCTTTCCTCTCCAGATTCTCACTCTTCCTCTTCTCCCTTTCCTCCAGGCTCAGCTGGCTGGGGTGGACGCGGGGAGAGACATCCTCTATGACGTCCAGAGACAGCCTACTGAGGAAGCTGCATCCTGAATCTGAATCATTCAGGTCTAATGGACATTCTGCAGCATTATTTGAAGCAGATAAATCATTGGTGACTTGTTTTGATAAAGCACTGGTATCCGCTCGAGCCTCAAAGCTTTCCTTTTCCTCAGTAATAAAGTTTTTGATGCCATCACTGTTTTCAAAGTTTTTGCTGTGTTGTATACTCTCATCCTCAGTGTCCAAAGTTTGCTTTCAAGTGGCTTTGTTCGGTGTGTTCTGATAAGCATTGGAGAACTTATTCAGTTTCCTGTTTCTTTCCTGAGCTCCATGTGTGTTGGTGCTGGAGGAGTTGATCCCGAACACCTGTAGGTTAAACCGCATGGACAGATAGGAGCACAGGTAGCCTTTCCCTGAACCCACGTCTATCACCTGAGAAGCAGAAACAGATGATCAAAAAGACCCAATTCAGTTTGTTTTTAATTACATTTCTACCTGTTTGACTTGGCAGCATTTGGCTAAACTAGCCACAACCTCAGACATCGCCTGCACCTCATGGGCCTTCTTACAATTCATAAACTCATCCGGTGCAACTACTTTGTCTGATGACTCTCCTATGGGAATTACAGACAATGCATGAAATATGACCTTCTAATAACCTGAATATGACATGCATAATAATCACAATAAAGATCCAGTGGAATGTAAATGTGATTTTCAGTGCTTCTGATCTGACTGCAGTTACCTGCTATAGTGTCTCCAGTCATCAGTCTCAGATTCTGCATCAGATCTTCCAGCTGCATACAGACCCCCAAACCCTGTAAACAGTGGGCTTTCGCTACCCTCAGCAGGGCTGATATGTCCACCAACTTCTTTGAGGCATTGCAGAAACCAAAAGTAGTGTTTGAGAGCAGCAGCTGTTGACACAGTATTTAAGACGTAAGTAGTCAAATCAGGATATGATTCCTCTGAGGGACCGACTGCGCGGCCATGTTGAGTGTACCAGTTGCGTTTTTTTAAATGGACGAATCGAATATGTTGCCCTCACACAAATGGCGTTTATTTTGATTAGTAATGCCTTGCGACCATCCTTACGTCATTATTGTGCGTCTTTACACGAGAAACAAACAACCGTTTTGTCCACATATTAGCAGATGTTAAGTTAACGTGAAACATGGCACATTTAAAACAAAACGCAAAAACTAAAGGTCCGATTAAAGGAAAATACTTCAATAACAAATTTGCACATGGTGGTTTAACACACAACGCTAAAACGAAAAGAAAATGGGTTCCAGAGAACAAAGTTTTTGACGGTAGTTTAAAAGAGGGTAAGTAGTTCACTTTAAACATAGCCACTTAAAAAAATAATATTTAAGAAAATGTATTTTAGATGTAGAAAGTTCACAATTAATAAACAAATCTGACATAAGGGTCAATGAAAAATAAAGACGTCCGAAATGAGAAAAAATCTGTGTAAAACGCACGTGCCTAGTTCTTATACATCGTTGTTTTAACGTTGGTTACATTTTTGAAAACGTTTATATCATGTTACACAAAAAAAAAGTGAACTTACGTATTTTTCTTATATAAATTGCCGCAACATATTTTTGATCAACGTAATAGATCCAGAAAAAAAACGAGCGTCATGACATCGACCAATATACACACAACAAATAGTTAACTAGGACTAAATGTAGAATGTGTACTGTTTGAATCTCATCTCCCTCTCATTCTTTCTCAGGTCAGGGATTTGCCTTCAAAAGGAAGGAGAAAATAAAACATGAATATAACAAACTTCTCAGAAAGGAAAGGAAGAAAATGCAACCATCACCAATCCAGTTAGAGGAGGAATATGCCGAGCATCTGAGGCATCTATACCTGGCTGAAAAAGAACGACTAGATGAAGAAGAACAAGAAAAAAAGAAGAAAAGATGTAAAGGGAAAGCAGTAGATGAAGAGACAGGAGGCAGACGATGAACTAAAAATGGTGTTGGATTCACCTTTCACTGAGAAACACATCTCAAACACAACGATTTACCAAACTACCGTCCCTGATTCAGCTAATGAACCAGCAGAGTCTGACAGGTACAGTAACAGCTAGTAGTAAAAATATATATATATGTATATATATATATACACATACACACACACACACACACAGCCACATTCCTGATTTCTGATTTGTGTCATCAGCTCCCATAAGACTTCATTCATCCAAAGGAAGCAGAAAATGTCGTCGTATCAGAAAACAAGGCAAGAATATGAAAGGATAAATGAGGAACGTGCAAGAAAACGAGAGGTGAGGAAATAAAAACTGGCAAATGTATACTCAGTGCGCAAATGCACTTCTTAAGCCCATCAGTTTGATGGAATTGTACAGTTTTCAATTTCCTAATGAATCTCCTTTGTGATGTCATTAAAGAAGACTCGTTATGTCATGTAAACATACACATTTTAATCATCCTTTACATTCTTTGGCAAGTGACTGATGCATGCTTTATTATGCGTGTCTGTGTAGGAATTTTTGAAAGACAAAGCTCAGCGAGAGGAGGCTCTGAAAAAATATGAGAAGAAAATGGCCACATATCAGTTGTTGAAAAGAAAAACCAAGAAAGGTCAGCCCAACCTCAATCTGCATATGGAGCTTTTGCTGCAAAAGATTCAAGCTCAGCGCAAATAATTCAGTATCAACCATAAAATGAGACTGTTTAAAGTTGTTTAAAGCATTTTAAAGTTAAAATAGACCATCACACAATAAACTCTGCAGTTTAGGTGAGTTTTTTTTTTTTTTACCACAAGGATGTGCATACCTTTGTCCTTCACATTAATGTTTCTTGTAAACAAAATATTAAATTATGTTTTACTTGAGTTAATTCAAGTTTATGAAAAAACGTGATGCTTTATAATATCTAATTAGTGGTAGATCTATATTTTATTATTATATTTAGCTATAAAATGCTGTCAGAAGCTGAACTGCCTACAAGTACTTCCTTAAACATTTATAGAATTTTGCATAATTTCTCCTTTCTTCTAACCGTTCTTTTAAAAATATTTTTGTGACATGATGAATGAATGGTATATTTTGTTTATTAGTTGAAAAGCATTGATATCAAAATTTAAAAATACTAAAAAACAAATACTAAAATTTGTTGATAAAGCATGTAAACTTTAATAAAAAATATTAAAATAACAAAAACAGAAGGCATTGATGCATTAGTAGCAATATAAGAAACTCCCAGTAGAACCAGTAACTGTAATATGACTTCATAAACACAGTCTCCTCAGTCATATGGCTCCTCCCACTTTATTTGACTACTCCTCCACATCATCATAGTCTGTTTTTAAAAACAAAAGCAAATTCATTTTCATTATTATAATTACATCATTATTTAGTTTCCCACATCATCATAGTCTGTTTTTAAAAACAAAAAACAAAAGCAAATTCATTTTCATTATTATAATTACATCATTATTTAGTTTAAATTGGGTTTAAATGATAAATATGATTGAAAGTAGATTATGTAAAAGGGTAACAATAACCAACCCAGCATGTTTCTCTCATCTTCATTGCTGTTCTTCACATAATCATACTCCTCCTGATCTCCCTCTGATACACGTGAAATAAAACCTCACATTGTAATGTGTAACAGCTTGCGTCATTGATCTCTTTCTCCTCATGACTGTCTGAGACTATTAGATTAAACCTGATAAACCTATGATGATTCATTAATGGTTTAAATACATGTTCATTATATAACATAATGATATATATAAAACAGCAGGTGATGATAAAAAGCAGTTCTGTGTGACTCACCTGTTACACATTTAAAGTTCTGTCCAATAATTATGACATCATCATAATGCTCCGGTGAGTCCACTACACATACATGAAAATATAAACAAAACAAATGTTATCATATCAGTACTGAGTATCATTTTAAAGATATTATGTTAAACAAACACAGATAAAAAAGTAGAAATACATTAATATTAGAGTTCTGTCCACCTGTCATGACATAATCATAGCTCTCAGGTGTGTCTTCTACAAATTTATCATAAAAAAAGAAAAGAAAAATACATATGTATGTATATAAAAGTGATGTGACACCTGTTTTACGATCTGGTTTCAGTCCATCAGTGATGACATCATCATAGTAGCCTGGCGTGATTTCCTTCATCTCTTCTGCATCAAAACGTGTCATATATTTGGGTGTTTGTGGAATATTTTTGGACACAAAATGTAAACTGTGCTGTTGCAGGTCTTAACCTGGCATTGTTGGCATTATTATAATATACAGTCTTAAACGTTTTTAATAAGATAAAAGCTTTAGTATTATGAACAGCCTCAACAGAGTCATTGGTCAAATATTTAATTTAGTGATAGAATTAAATTTTATATGTGTGATTTTATAAGTGTGAATTACATTTTAATTTTTTTGAAATTTTCAAATTTATTGGAGTCTGACCATTATTTATTTTAGGTATTATTTAATTATATTTTAGCTCTCTAACCTGAGAGAAGGTCATCAGCATCTTCATACCCAGAATGCATTTCTTCAGAGATGAGACTCCCTGTTAAAGAAGAGTAGAACCGTCAGAAACATGTAACTGTAACTGAATCCTCATTTCCTTTGGATCATGTAGCACTGTGTTAGTGACAACACACACACAAAAGCATCAGAAACAGAAATGCCATGTTTTTTTGTTGGGCCTATTAGCAAACACACGTAACCTCACATGAACCCGTTCTTCACTGCCTTCCATAAATATACACAGGTAGACACACTCATAAACATGCACCTGCAGCTCTGTGGTTTTCTGTCAGGAATTCTGTGGTTTGAAGCAGGAGGTTTAACAGGACTAATAATAGATGAACATCAACTCTGACAGACTCTTATTAATGCTATTAAATGAGATTGATGGCTCATGTCTCACCCCTCTGAGTGAAGTGATTGTGTCTGTGCTGAATCTCCTCATAAACGGCCTCAGTCGTCGTCCTGTGTCTCCTCTTAGAGAGAGCTGTGAGTGTAGACAGACAAACCTGCTGTCAGTTCACAACACATGACTGATCACACACTGAATAAGACACAATATGACAGTCTCTGGATCTCTCCTACCTCTCCTCATCACTCTGTTCTGCTGAATCAGTATAAGCAGTGGCACTAAGAGCAGTAAGAGCACAACTCCCAGAACAATCACAAGCACTGGGGGGACGGAGAGAGACGCTGCTGGAGGAGAGACTGATGTTGAGCGCACTGGAGGAGAAACTGGAGGAGAAGCTGATGTTGTTGTGGCAGGAGTAGTGGACACTGACAAATCTGGCAATGTAAAAAAATAAGTAGATACAATTCATACAAATTTTTTTAACACACATATACACTCTAACATTATCTAAAAATGAATATTATTCCTCAGTGTTTGCTGTAACCTGCACAGGTGAGTCCAGCGTGCTCTTTGTGGGAGCAGTCAGTGTGGTTTTTCAGGGAGAGAGGACAGTCCCACAGGTGAATCTCATTCCCTCTGCACTCGACTCTGTTCAGCCACACAACACCTTCACCAGCACCAAAGACTGAATTCCCATCAGCCCTCAGTGCTGCTCCACAACCCAGCTGCCTGCAGACCACCTGAGCATCGCTGATGTCCCACTGATCATCACAGACTGAGCCCCACACAGCGTTATGATACACCTCCAGCCTCCCAGAGCACCGGCCCTCCCCTCCACTCAGTCTGAGAGGAACATGATCTAAAACACACA